CCTCCTTTGGTTTATCCTTCACTTCTACCCTTGGGTCCTCCCCGAAAAAATAAAATTAAGACAGGGAAGATTGAAAATTTACACCAACCCACTAAAACCTTTTCACCACTGCCTGTTTATCATGTATTGCCCACAGAGGAGAAATAATCTCCCAATTCACAAAAGTTCTGTGGTTCTCAACTTCTACTGTGAGGCTCTGTATCTTTTTTTCACCATTTGGCAGCTGTTCACAGGTATACAATTACTAATCCAACTAAGAACAGACAATTCACGCTTCACATAATCAAAGGTCAGAAACAACTGTGCAAGCGAAAACTCGTCAACGATCACTTATCTGGCAGCAAGCCCTATTCACATTGACCTTCAACTAACTAACCTAACTAAATAGAACCAACAAAACCAAAATAAGCTTGTATCCCATAACTTCATAAGAAAATCTTTACCTTGCAAATTCCCAGTTGCAGATTAAAACAAAATATCACTTTAATTTCCTATTTCGATTCTTTCGGATCCTACCCAGTTTCACAAACACCAAGAAATGCACCAACTTGAATCCACAACAAAATCCCAATACATCCGTTTGTACAATTTTGTACACTTCCAAATTCCTTAAATTACCCCCCCCCCAAAAAAACTAACACCTGTGACAGTTAATTTTCATTCATTTTCGGAGAAACCAAACAGACGCAATAAAACAACCAGGCTCACCCGGGCTGCCTCCGCATCTTGAAGCTCTCAGAAGTAAATCCAATGGCAATCTGACCCTTGGTCCCCGCATCCTTGACATAAATCTCGAAGTAGTAGACGAGCCGCTTGACCGGCGCCGGCTTGTTAGCCTGAACGACGCCGACGTCGTGGCCGTGAAGATTGACGCTGGTGTACTTGGCGGAGAGCTTATCTGGGGACACGACGAGGAAGCCGCCGGAGCTGTTGATGGTGTTGAGCTCCGTGGGGGCATCATCGTCCTCGTCCATGTCGGTCCGCCCGCGAGCAGAGCGGAGCCGCGATTGCTCGAGGAACCACAAACCGAGGTCTCGGTCGCCGGCGTGGTTGTTGGTACCATTGTTGGAGTTGGTGGTGCTCATTGTTTGAATCTAAAACCCTGGAATTCAGCAATCATTTGGTGGAAAACGAAGAAACCTAAACCCTTTTCGTCGATTTGGGGACTTAGGAGGGAGGAGAGCAAGAAAAATGGGAATGATTTGTTACGGCACGCAGAGGGAAAGAACCAAGATTTTTTTTTTTTTTTTCCTTTTTTGTTTGTTTTTTTTTTTTTTTTCTACGAAGACCAATGATAGGGAAAATTTTTATTTTAACAAAATAAAGAGTAAAGTGAATAGTATCAGAATTGACTTTTTAGTATAAAAATATGGTTTTTCGTTAAAATGAACAGTAGCTTTTCGTTAAAACTCCTTTTTTTCTAAGTTTTATTGTTTGCACTCGTAATTGTGACCGTTCATCGTATATGTGCGATCAGTTTTCATTAATTACTATTTATATTTAATTTTAAATTTTAAAATGATTTCTGATCGCACGATGTACGATAAATAGTTACAATCACGGAATTCCTTATTATTTAAGAAAACTAGGTCCCACAACTTACATCTTGGGTTTAGAGAAATGGTAAGTATACTCTCTGGTAAATAGACTCTTCATTGAGGGTTCTGGTTTAATATCAATTTTCATGTTAATATTATAAAATATTATGTTGAAAACATGAGATGATAGAGAGTTTTCAGAGAGTCCCACTTTTGTGAGAGTCTCCTTAAAATTTCTCTCAATTTAAAATATTTGATAAATCATATGATGTGTTTGTTGATTATTAGATACTTACTAAAGTGTTGACCAACATATTTATTTCATATTAGTAACATATCACATGATTTGTAAATCTAAAAACAAGCGGAGTCCCACACAAATTTTTTTGCCTACGTAGGAGCAAAATGTTCTTCTCGCCCATTTAAAAAGTAAACTAAGTGTAGAAAAATGGTGGCACTTCATACATCCATTTTTATTTATCTCACACATCTATTAATTTTAATCGTCAGATTAAATAATTGAAGAAGATCAATAAATAAAAACTAATAAATGTTGCATTTGAATGGTGAATACTCTACAAGTCACTGTGTTTCGAAATCTAACCTCTCCTCTCTTCATCATTTAGATTAATTTAGTATAACTTATTTAATTATTTGTCAAATAATATTTATGTGTTCACGTAAATAAATAAAAAAATCAATAACTAAAATAATAACAATTTTGTTTTTAAATAAATAAACATGCCATTATGTATTGAATCCGATTGTAACTCATTTTATTTCGAGCTTAGATCTTCTTTCTATTCGATGAGTTTTTTTTTTTTTTTAATAAACGATATTATTTATATTAAATAAGAATTGATGTACATAACCTTACAATTAACTAGCAATAACGTGATTCGAATTCGTCTTTGACGAAAATAACTTTGTCTCTCTTGCAAATGTTTTACTAATCTTTGTAGAATAATTTACATTCAATTGCGTTCAAGAGTGTACAAACGAAGTTGAGATGTCATTATCGTGCATTTGATTTCTAACACATAACAATGGAAACAAATATCTCAAATTCTCTAGTAATAAAAAACAAAGTTATTTAAAAGTTTTACCCGTCAAACATGCAGAACTTCAATTTTGGCTTGTTTGTTAAAAGAGCCGACTTGTCTTGACTCGAATGCATACGAGCTGAGCTGAACCATGGACGAGTAATTCAAACTCGAAATGACCTCGAGTTAGTATTAGATGTATGTGTTAAAATATTCCATATCGTCGAGAGGGGAAAAGAAAAGTTTAAATATCATAACTTCATTCTAATTATACTAGATTATTTGGCATTTGTGTGATAAAACACTACATTTGTTGGTCTGTGCATGTGGTAATTAACAAGTTGAGAACAATATCAGTGTTGTTAGAAGTAGGCTTTAGCCCATTGCTCTCCTATGGATTTTCCACGTGTGATTCACTAATTCGATCTCACGTGAAGGGACGTGTTAAAACATATCACATCGACAGAATGAGGGAGAAAATAAGAGTTTAATATCCAACTACACTCCAACTCATACCGAGATATTTTTATGATAAAACCCCACATATGACGGTATATGCATGTGATAATTAACAAATTAAGAACAACATTAATATTGTAGGAAGTAGACTTTAACTCGTCTCTTTGATAATTTGATAAGATGTGATTCACCTAATTTGAGCTAAAAGTCCAAAATGGTGGCTAACCTTAGACTTGAGCATTATCACTACCTCCATTACTTAGAACAGGATTACCAATCGATTCCATTCCATTAATCCCAGGTGAAGCCAACCCAACCAACCACGAGATTAATCGTCAGCCATGAACAATACTAAGCATCACTTCCTCCTCATATCATGCCCTGCCCAGGGCCACGTCAACCCCACTCTCCAGCTCGCCAAGCTTCTTATACAAACCGGTGGAGGGACACGTGTCACTTACGCCACCACCGTCCGCGCCCTCACCCAAATCAAATCCTTCCCTTCCCTCCAAGGCTTATCATTCGCTACTTTCTCCGACGGTTTCGATGACGGCGTCATACCGACCCACGACCCGGACCTCTTCATGTCCGAGTTTAAGCGCGTGGGATCACGCACCCTAACCGCCCTGATTCAAAAATTGTCTGCCTCCTCCGACGGCGGCGACGGCGAGCCCGTTACTTTCCTCATCTACGCCGTCCTCCTCCCTTGGGCCGCTCAAGTGGCAGCTGATCTCGGCATACCCTCCGCTTTCTTCTGTATACAGTCCACCACTTCCTTTGCACTTTGCCACCATTACTTGACTTATTTTCACAAGTGCCATTCAGTACCGAGCTCCATAACGATTGATGGGTTGCCAGCTTTTGCCCCCCAAGAACTGCCTTCCTACCTCCTCCCAAGCAGCCCACATGCTACGATCGTCCCTACCTTTCAGGAACACATCCAGGCCCTTGAACAGGTCAATGTCAAACCCTACCCCAATTTCGTGCTGCTCAACACTTTCGCTGCCTTGGAAGAGACGGCAATGGAAGCGATCCGATCACAAATGAAGAATGCGAATGTGGTTCCGGTTGCGGTTGGCCCATTGGTTTCGAGTTCCAGTGATGCCGGTTTTCGCTGTGACTTGTTTGACAAGTCTCGGGACGACGATTACCTACAATGGCTGGATGGCAAACCAGATTGCTCTGTTGTTTATGTGTCGTTTGGGAGCATGGTGGTGTTGAAGAGGGATCAAATTGAAGTGATGATAAATGAACTGGTCGACAGCGGACTCCAGTTTTTATGGGTTATTCGCGCTTCCGAGAATGGAGATGATCGGAGCATGACGATGATGATAGAAGAGAGATTAAAGAGTAAGGAGCAGGGTTTAGTGGTACCGTGGTGTTCGCAGGTGGAGGTGTTGGGGCACAAGTCAGTGGGGTGTTTTGTGACGCATTGTGGGTGGAATTCGACGTTGGAGAGCTTGGTTGCTGGGGTTCCAACGGTGTGTTGCCCGCAATTTTCAGACCAGAACACAAATGCGAAACTGGTGGAGGAGGTGTGGGGGACTGGAGTGAGAGCCAAATCGAATCACGAGGGAGTGACTGAAGGTGGAGAGATCAAGAGGTGCCTGGAGATTGTGATGAGAGGTGAAGAGATCAAACGGAATTGTCAAAAATGGAAAGGGTTGGCTAATGAGGCTCTCAATGCAGATAACTACAATCTCAGGCACTTCATTGCAGGGTTGGAATGCAATAAAACTCCTCCTATCCTATGGGCGGGCGCGCCAGGCCGTTGAGGCAGCGTGCACACACGCTTGCACCTATTCGACTTTCTTTCTGCTCGACTTTTTTCTTTTGTTTTTGCTAAATATCTTCATCCGAGCGTGTAATCTCTAATTTCCTTATAAACTTCTTAGGATGAAATGGGTCAGATATATTACATGTATGAAGTTTTCTACATTTACGCCATCTCCAACAGAAGTCGAGTTTACAAATGTCATCTACCCTTTATACACCGCACAAAACTTACACTAACGGGAATCGTCATATCACAAAAACTCTATATACATATTGAGAATACTAAATTCGCTAATCCACCTAGCGCTAGCTAGCAACTTTTTCAAACCAAGTACGCAGAAGCAGCTCTTACAGCATTTGCTGATTTCTTTCTTAACATACATTTCCAAGCATATTTCCTCTTCTCCCACCTTGCTGCTCTCTTTTTTTTATATATCATCCCTCGATACTTTTGTAGATCCTTCAACCAACTGGAATAATCCCTCCCAGGTTCGCACGCAATGAAGTCCGCTAACTCCTCTATCTCAGATTCCTGGGATCTTCCTAGTAAGAGATTGAGAAAAACCTTCCGTTGCAGGTTTTCTCTTCAATGCCATCACTAGATTCTGTCGTGCACCTCATGATACATGCATTTTCCGAAGTTTCTGCTACCTCGCTCTGTGATCTCCGATGGGAGTTTGTGAGAGAAATTTTGCTTTAAAATGAGGGAAGATTGATTTAATTGAAGAGAAGAGGTAACCAACATCAGACAAAGTACTCGATTGAATTGGATTGAATTTATTCAAGTGCAAGAAGTCTGTCAATATATAAAGCTAAAACTATCGAATCCTCCTTTTCTTTATCGAAAGCAGAATGTTTTATGATCAGATGCAGCATTTTTCTTTTACTGGATTACTGGAGATCTATAGCATGAAATTCCTTGCCTCCAAGGACTACCGATATCATGGTTCACTAAATGTCAGAAATCAATGGCCAGAGAATATCATAGCTAAAAACTAAAAAAAAAAAAAAAATATATATATATATATATATATATAAAAACCTGCTCAGCTAGCCGCTACTGAAATCTAATGCCAGCTACATTATGATCTCGTTAGATTTTTCTGGTTTAAATTGAGAAGGGTCGAGCATATTTACAGTCAACTAGATGCCACCCACCCGAATTTCTTTTTGATTTGGCGAGAAAACATTTGTATGGTAGAAATATTTTGTCGCTGGTATTTCACATCCACAAGAGGAAAAAAGAAAAATTTAAATATCATGACTTCATTTCAATTACACTGATGCCTTGGCCCTTGTGTGAGAACACACTACATTTGTCGGTATGTGCAGTGGTAACGAGTTGGGAATAACATCGGTGTTGTTGGAAGTGGGTTTTTTGCCCATTGCTCTCTTATGGATCTCCCACGTGTGATTCACTAATTGGATCTCACATGAGGGGCATGTTAAAATATACCACATCAGCAGAATGAAGGAGAAAATAAGAGTTAATATCCAACAACACTCCAACTGATATCGAAGCATTTTTATGATGAAACCCCACATATGACGTCATATTCATGTGGTAATAAGAAGTTGAGAAATATTAATATTATTGGAAGTAGACTTTGACTCGTCTCTCTGATAATTTGATAAGGTGTGATTCACCTAATTTGAGCTAAAAGTACAAAATGGTGGCTAACCTTAGACTCGGAGCATTATCAGTACTCCAAAACAAAATTAATTACCAAGTTACAAAAAATATCGGTTTATTGAAAGTGAGTCTTTGATGGTCTCCCTAATATGTAATTCATGTAATTTGAGCTTAAAGTCCAAAATGGCGGCTAACCTTAAGACTTGAGCATTATCATTACCTCCATTACTTAGAACAAGATTACCAAATCCATTCCATTCCATGAATCCCAGATTAAGTCAACCAACCAAACAAGAGATCAAACCGTAAGCCATGAACAATACTAAGCATCACTTCCTCCTCGTATCATGCCCTTCCCAGGGCCACATCAACCCCACTCTCCAGCTCGCCAAGCATCTTATACAAACCGGTGGAGGCACACGTGTCACTTACGCCACCACCGTCCGCGGCCTCACCCAAATCAAATCCTTGCCTTCCCTCCAAGGTTTATCATTCGCTACTTTCTCCGACGGGTTCGATGACGGCGTCAAACCGACCCACGACCCGGACCTCATCATGTCCGAGTTTAACCGCGTGGGATCACGCACCTTAACCGCCCTGATTCAAAAATTGTCTGCCTCCTCCAACGGCGGCGGCGACGGCGAGCCTGTTACTTTTCTCATCTACGCCGTCCTCCTCCCATGGGCCGCTCAAGTGGCAGCTGATCTCGGCATACCCTCCGCTTTCTTCTGTATACAGTCCACCACTTCCTTTGCACTTAGCCACCATTACTTCACTTATTTTCACAAGTGCCATTCAGTACCAGACTCCATAATGATTGATGGGTTGCCACCTTTCGCCCCCCAAGAACTGCCTTCCTACCTCCTCCCAAGCAGCCGACATGCTACGTTCGTCCCTACCTTTCAGGAACACTTCCAGGTCCTCGAACAGGTCAATGTCAAACCCTACCCCAATTTCGTGCTGCTCAACACTTTCGATGCCTTGGAAGAGACGGCAATGGAAGCGATCCGATCACACATGAAGAATGCGAATGTGGTTCCGGTTGCGGTTGGCCCATTGGTTTCGAGTTCCAGTGATGCCAGTTTTCGCTGTGACTTGTTTGACAAGTCTCGGGACGACGATTACCTACAATGGCTGGATGGCAAACCAGATTGCTCTGTTGTTTATGTGTCGTTTGGGAGCATGGTGGTGTTGAAGAGGGATCAAATTGAAGAGATGATGAATGGACTGGTCGACAGCGGACTCCAGTTTTTATGGGTTATTCGCGCTTCCGAGAATGGAGATGATCGGAGCATGACGATGATGATAGAGGAGAGATTAAAGAGTAAGGAGCAGGGTTTAGTGGTACCGTGGTGTTCACAGGTGGAGGTGTTGGGGCACAGGTCAGTGGGGTGTTTTGTGACGCATTGTGGGTGGAATTCGACGTTGGAGAGCTTGGTAGCTGGGGTTCCAACGGTGTGTTGCCCGCAATTTTCAGACCAGAACACAAATGCGAAACTGGTGGAGGAGGTGTGGGGGACTGGAGTGAGAGCCAAATCGAATCACGAGGGAGTGACTGAAGGTGGAGAGATCAAGAGGTGCCTGGAGATTGTGATGAGAGGTGAAGAGATCAAACGGAATTGTCAAAAATGGAAGGGGTTGGCTAATGAGGCTCTCAATGCAAATAACAACAATCTCAGGCACTTCATTGCAGGGTTGGGATGAAATAAAACTCCTCCTATCGTATGGGCGGGCGCGCCAGGCAGTTGAGGCAGCGTGCACACACGCTTGCACCTATTCAACTTTCTTTCTACTCTGTTTTTTTCTTTTGTTTTTGCTAAATATCTTCATCTGTAATCTCTAATTTCCTTATAAACTTCTTAGGATGAAATGGGTCAGATATATTACATGTATGAAGTATTCTACATTTACGCCATCTCCAAAAGAAGTTGAGTTTACAAATGTCATCTACCCTTTATACACTGCACAAAACTTACACTAGCGGGAATCGTCATATCACAAAAACTCTATATACATATTGAGAATACTTAATTCGCTAATCCACCCAGTGCTAGCTAGCAACTTTTTTAAACCAAGTACGCAGAAGCAGCTCTTACCACATTTGATGATTTCTTTCTTAACATACATTTCCAAGCATATTTCCTCTTCTCCCACCTTGCTGCTCTCTTTTTTTTATATATCATCCCTCGAAACTTTTGTAGATCCTTCAACCAACTGGAATAATCCCTCCCAGGTTCGCACTCAATGAAGTCCGCTAACTCCTCTATCTCAGATTCCTGGGATCTTCCTAGTAAGAGATTGAGAAAAACCTTCCCGTTGCAGGTTTCCTCTGTTTTCTCTTCAATGCCATCACTAGATTCCGTTGTGCACCTCATGATACATGCATCTTCCGACGTTTCTGCTACCTTGCTCTGTGATCTCCGATGGGAATTTGTGAGAGAAACTTTGCTGTAAAATGAGGGAAGATTGATTTAAGTGAAGAGAAGAGATAACCAACATCAGACAAAAGTACTCGATTGAATTGAATTGAATTTATTCAAGTGATTGCAAGAAGTCTGTCAATGTATAAAGCTAAAACTATCGAATCCTCCTTTTCTTTATCGAAAGCAGAATGTTTTATGATCAGATGCAGCATTTTTCTTTTACTGGATTACTGGAGATCTATAGCATGAAATTCCTTGCCTCCAAGGACTACCAATATCATGGTTCACCAAATGTCAGAAATCAATGGCCAGAAAATCTAATGACAGCTACATTATGATCTCGTTATATTTTTCTGGTTTAAATTGAGAAGAGTCGAGCATATTTACAGTCAACTAGATGCCACCCACCCGAATTTCTGTTTGATTTGGCGAGAAAATATTTGAATGGTAGAAATATTTTGTCGCTGGTATTAAAAAAACTTAATACAGAACTATGCTATATGGTGCACAATATTTTTTGTACCTTAAGTGAAGTGTTTGAATTTTCTGAAATTTCGATGCAACTCTTCTGATAGATTTCTTTTTCACCAAGCCCTGCAAAGTGTAACATACGTCATTTTTAATGTACATAATAAGTTCAAAGAATTAAAACATTTATCATTTTTTGTTTTACAAGTATCGAGCGTGAAACAAAAACACATCAATTAAACTCGAAAAGGTCATGACAGAAAAACAAAGCTCACCCCTGTAATCTTGTCTGAAGGCAATCCAGATGAAGAAGTTTGTGAGCCAGAAACTAGAAGTGAGCTGAGTGCAACTATATCACCATCTTCGTATACATATAGATTTAATAGTGACATGATTGTCGATATGCAGCCCTTAACTAAGAAATCAATCCCACTACCAAAACCCAAGGACAGTAAGCCTGAAAAGTGCAGAAGCATCCACTTGGAAGCCTTATGTATCGACGGGTGGGTGTTCATCATGTCTAATAAGAACTTTTGATTAGGCAGAGACACATTGAACTGGTGAAAACAGCCAATAACACCCACTATGAAATCATATTCCTTTGAAGAAGCGTCTTTTACGGTTTTTGAAGAGCCCAAATGCCCGCCATGCCTTAGACACCAAACAGCTTTCAGCAACGAAGTACTCATTAACTTCAATATGGAAGCAAGAAGATAAATATCTTGTGGACTCGTATCCCCTTTTCTATACAGCACACTATCACTAACACCACAAGAAAAACTTCCATGTATTATGCTACGCAAGACAGACGCTATATCATCTTTACATGATTCATCAAAAACATGTTGGCTCTCATTTATGTATGCAACAGAAGAATCCATCAGGTCCGCTTTTCTTCCACAGAACATATCGCACAAATACGAGTCCCATAACGAATCAGAATGGGTAACTAGATCACACATTTTATCTCTCGTAACTTGTTGAATATACGACTCAAATGAAGGTTGACAACTTCTCCCTAGCATACGTGAACCAGTAGAAGAAGAAGAAGAACATTTAACACCCAAACGATGGAAATCCATAAGTGAACTAGACATGTGGCTGGTATATAAAAGGACAGACCTTTCAAATGCTGTTAGGTAGCAGTCCATAAGTCTAAGATCTGGTCTAGCATTCATAGACATGTCTACATCAATAGATTCAGAAACCAATAAAAACAAATGTGTCCTGCAACATTTTGGGTGCTGACAGCATGATGGGGTTGAGAAGCAATAACACTGCAGCATTCAGGCTCAGTTCGGGAACTCTACAATACTTCCCGAAATCACAGAATAATCTTTTGAGGAAGTTCCCATATGCTCGCTTTCCATAAACTGACAAGATGAAATGGGCAGAAATCACCTCCAGAACACTTCCAATATCACCTTTGACAGCATGGCACCGAAATAGCATTTCAGTTGTGCAAGAAGAAGAATCAACAAGAATAAAGTACTCTCTCAGCAATCTACACATTACAAGTTCATCTGCAAATATCTAAATACAATAATGCTACCATCAGTTGTGTATAGATGCAATAACTCTTACAAAAGTAATTATTTTAGAATGGCATGAGAACTTCACATGGAAGAATAACACAAAGGATATTTGAAATGGAATTCTTCTTGAACTGCAAAAAAAATATATATATACAGCCGACGATTGCAAGACTGTCCTCAAAGTATTCAATATGTTTATTCATATCCTAATCTTGTAAATATATAACATTGGTAATTTGGTAAATTTATACTGTACTTACTATCTAATAGCAATCAATATCACATTAAGTAAAACAAAATAGAAGGAAGACGACACAGAGAAATTCATATACAACAAACAAGTTAAAATGTGTTACAATGTATACTTTTAAGACCAGTACGAGAAGAAATGCAAACACCACCATAGCATATAACTGTATGGGTTGAAAGCATAGCTGACATTCCAATAGCTCTAAAGGTTAAAAGTTATTGCACATTTACCTCAAGCACTGCAGATAGTGCTGGACACCATGGATCACAAACCTCTATCAAACATAAGGAAGAAACAAAATCTTCTGAAACAGTAGTTGAAGAACCAACAGCATCAGTGAACGTGCACTTGGAAGAAACAAACTTCTGAAAGGTGACAGAGTTGTTTTTCTCATCTCCTCCGCTTGTAACCAAAGAAATCAATTTCCGTAGTACAGAGAGAAGAAATTGGGTTTTCTCCACTAGGATAGTAGGGTCAGCCAAGGTCAAGACTAGGATGCAACATCTCAGAAGCAGCGGTAGTTCATCAGGAGCGGCCAACATATCTGTGTGGGAATCAACGTGCCTCGGTCCCCTTGTTGCAGATAAATCACATAAAGCGGAAAAGAACAGTTTAAACCTCCTATCTAGCTCTTTGTACAAAACATAAATGAGACTTTGTGTATCTCCAAGTTTCACTTCAACCCCGCCATTATTGAGAGCACCTTCAAAGTTAGAAAAGTGCATTGTTTCATTACACGACAGCGGAGCAAGTAGGAAGCACAATCTTTTCAAAAGGGGCATCTTCAGACCCTGAAATTGAACACGCTAAGAATCAATCAACGCGTTTATCTACGTAAATATAAGTTCCTATGGCTACAAATGACACAAACATCCATCAATGTTCTACAACAAAGAAACACTGAGGCTACACTCGTTTCGGCGGAAATGAATTTCCCAATTTCCTTCTCAATCCTCTCACAATTCGCCTCTGATTCTACAAAATTATGCCCCTGGACAGTCTCTATCCAAACAAATCCATAAATGCAGAAGTGACAAGTGAGCCATACGACCTAAAAGAGAATATGAAACGACAATGCAATGTAAGATGGAGATGGAGTACCTCAGGGGACTGAATTGCAGAGATTAGGGTTTGGAAGTTGAGAGGGGGAGTGTGATTGGGAGCTAGGGGTTCTTCCATTGCAGGGCTGCGGCGCTTTCTGTGCCTCTTGCTCTTCCGACCCATCTCTACGTTCTGCAGAAACGCACGGAATCTCAGAAATGATCGGCTTTCGCTTACAAATGGGCGCCAAACTGACACCACTTTCGGAAGACTAAATATGAAAACCTAAGAATTCGATTGTTCAAAGGCTCTTATATTTTTTTCCGCACCCTATTAATTTCAGCCATTTGATTTACTTTTATTTTATTCAATCTCTTTCTAACTTTTATTTTATTCAATCAAACAATTAAAAATACTTGTAAGAAAATCTGCAACCTTTGATTTAAAATATAAAATTTTTAATCCAAAAAATTTAAGTTTTAACCATAAATAATTTTTCTTCTCCAATCATTCTGATTAAAGTTTTTTTCTTAATGTCGTCCAATCAAAATAGAGTCATTGGGATTGCACATGGATGGCTGATAATCCCAACAAGTTGGGCCCACTTTTGCACAACAAGGTACCTGTTTCCTTGCTTTTGGCTCGTTCCATTGTGTTCGGAGTTAGGATGGGCATAAAAACCGTCAAACCATAAAACCACATTGAACTGTATGAAAAAAAAACCGAAAAGAACCGTGTTGACGGAAAAAGTCAACTTTGAGTCAAAAACCGAACCGGACCATTCAAACCCGTTTCGATTTGAACAAGAACCGGAACCGAACCGAACCGAACCGTCTTATTAATAATAAACGAATTAATTATATATATACACACATGACATGGTATAATAGGTTGAAAAATTAGTTTCACCAAATTAGTTATGTTGGAGTTCCCCTTGAACAACAAACTTCACGGAATAACTTGTTAAAGGAGGAGTTTGGGAGTTCTCTACCATTTCAAACAAATTGGCAGGTATTTAATAGCTTTTGTGGTTTTTTTTAATCTATAGTTGGCATGCTCCTTAGCTTATATCATTTGGACTTATTCATACAGATAATTGCTAAAATGGGGTGCAATGCTTCTTCCATGTGTAGCCCTGGGTTTTTATGTTTTATTGGCATGCTCCATACTTTTATACTTGAAATTTTTTTACATATTTTGGTTTTGCTGCTTCTCTGTTCCCACTTATCAGTTTTACTGTTATATTTGTTCTTTGGCATATGTCTTCCAACTCAATTTCAATAATTGAGCAAGGCTACTATCAAAAGTTATATTGTTTCCATTTACGTTTGGAACCGTAAACTAGCAAGAACCGAACCGAAACCAGAGTAGACCGAACCGTACGGATCTAGTAATAAATTTAAGCAGAACCGCACTGAACCGAACTGTTGATATTTTTCGGTTTCGATTCCTCTTTAGGGGTGGAACCGCATCGTGCCCACCCCTGTTCAAAGTGTTGCTTTTCATTTGCTTCCTTTTTTCTTGCGCGTTCACGTGCAAGCTGTGGCCCAGGCCATTTACTTTGTCCGCTTTATTCGCTTAAATTTGCCCAAAAAATCAGTTTTACCCAAAACTGATTTTTGGTCTAAGGTTGGAGCGAGTTGTGAAGAGATTTAGAACCTAAATTTTAGGTTCCAAGAGTTAGTCTAAGGAAGAAAATGGGGTTCTCTAAAATTATCGATGGCTAAAAACACAAAAAAATTGTCACTTAATATTGTGATCTAATGGTAGTGGTAGTCGTAGCTGAAATGCCTTATGTTAGAATCTGGTGAATGATGAGTTTGAATCTCGGCTCGTTTGGAGGTTCTTTTAAAATGACTAAAAGCCGCTTTTAGAGAAAATGTTTTTGGGTTCCAATTCCAAAAGCACTTGAAGTGCTTCTTGTAGCAAGTACTTCAAGTATTTTTTCAGGATTCGCTTGTATTTTTATTAATGATTGGTTCAAAAAATATTTTCATCAAAAGCGCTTTCAATCATTTTAAAAGCTCTTACAAACGAGCCCTTAATTTATTTCTCCACCCTTTATTGTAAATAGATAGTTATATGAAAAAATAGTAATAAGATAATTATTACAACGCTAATGATTTTTTTACGTCTCTTTTCCTTTGTGTATATCTCACTTTATTTTTGACATTTTGTGCAAATAAATTCAAATTATGGTTAAGAAAAATAAATAAAAGGGTGTGTATAAATATTGAAAGCATATGTGAATATCATTTCTCTTACTACACAATGCTTTAGAGTTATGACTACGCTTCATTTTGTAAAATTCAAAAATATGAAATAAGTATAACTAAGAAATAATGAAATATAAATTTAAAATAGAATTGTTATTAGCACTCTAAAAATTTCATTCCACACTTTAAACTTTCTATATTAGGAAAGAAAAATACACTTGTGAGGAGTGTCGAATGAAATTTTTAAAGTGCTAATAACATTTTCTATTTTAAAAAATAAAAGTGTGCGTCAGCATTTCAAGCATATTTAAATATCATTTACCTTACTACACAATGCTTAGATGTCATGAGTACGCTTCATCTTAGAGAATTCAAAAGCAAAAAATACACAAGTAAGCAAATGGGTGGGCAGTGAGTCAGTGACCCAGTTTTCGCATCCAAATTTGAATTTTGTTTCATAAAAAGTATAGTAGTTTAAAAGGATAACTAATGAAAAGAATTTGAAAATTTTGAGTTTTAATAATAAGGATAAAATAAAGAGTAAAGTGAATAGTACCAGGATTGACTTTTTAGTGTAAAAATATGATTTTTCGTTGAAATGAACAGTACTGCGAATTTTTCGTTAAAACTCCCTAGTTTAAAACATTATATTGTGAATTTCAAGCCGTTTCTCTTTATAGAACTATACGAGAAAATATGCCCGCGCGTTGCCGCGGGACTTGAATGTATTAGGCGCAATAGGCATGAACAGTTTCTGCAAAAAACAACTAAAAAGACATAGCACCTAAGAATCAATGAACAATTGGGACATCTTACTCATATGTGAGTCTCAATCCCTAGTGAACAAAAGTACTATTTCTTCTTCAAATTGAATCGAAATCATTGATCAAGCAATTAAACATTCCTACTGGCAAATAATTGACCCCCAAGAGTTGAGTAGATATATAGTGACTGGAAAAATACAAAGTGAGCACCAATGATACTGCACCAGTACAAAGAGCATCACTCATCAGCTAATCTAGCTTGAAATGATAAGGAAAGAACCTTGACTAAGATCTTCAATCACTGAGACAGCCCAAATGAATAGAGAAAAACACAAATAATAAACACGGGGACAAAGAACCTGAGAAGCAGAAACAAACTTCTATGCACAAAAAATTTGTGCAAGTAAACAAACATCCAGTTGTACTGAGACTTTAATGATCCATGTTTAATAATATAACTTAAACCCAACCATGAATTTACAAAAAATTTAGGTAGAATTATTAACATAACTCAGAAAAATAAAGACTCAACTTTGCAATAATTTCTTACATAACATAAACCCGACAAATTTAACTAATTAGATTCATCCACAAAATAGATTTTAACATAACCTCAAAGAGTTTCTTCTAACCAAGTAAACCATTACTCAACAAAAAACATGTAGACAAAGCTCTTATCAAAATTATAATATTGTAATGAACAGGAACTTCGCTACACACTTTTCCAAAATGAAGGAAAAATCTACTTTGTAACTTAACTTAATATACGAAACCACCAATTTAGTCACCTAAAATTCATAACCAACAAAGAAAACAACTCCAAATCCTCAGGTTTACACATGTATGAGCCAAAGGTCAAGTTTTTACAAAATAATCATCCCACAATATGAAAAAGCAGATCGAAAAATTTAATTTTTGAACAGAAATAAGCCAAAGGTTCAATTTTTACAGACACGGATCATTTTATACACAATAAGCATACATAAAAACATAAAACTTGACAAATTTTCATTAACTTATCAACCAATACAAAGAACTTAGTGGGTCCTGATGAATGAAAAATAATTCGGAATTGTTTTTACATTTTTATTATATTCTAAGTTTTTCACGGAGCCAAATTAAACCAACATGCTTAAAAGAAAAAATTGATACCTGTAAGGCTGGAGACTTCTTTCAAGGCCTTTTTATTTTCTCTGTCGTTATGTAAATCCAATTTCACTACCACCTTCTGCAGAAAGAAAACAATTTTCAATTAACAAATTGTTTTGGGAGAGAAATGGAAATTCATTAATACAAATACCAATACCGATTTCTGGGATTTTAGGGTTCTGTTACCCTTGCAACTGAAAGCCTAAAAATCCCAGAAAAATGCCAAGAAGCTTAAGCAGAAAAAATCATATTTTCAACAACCAAAACCCAACATCGATTTAATCATAAACGAAAGAAGAAATTAAAATCTAAACAAAGTCACAAATTAACGAATTGAAAACCCACAAAAAAAAACATAAAATAAAAATAAGCAACTGACCTTAAAACAAAGAATAAATACACAGAACAGAGAAGAATACCCAAAATGAGAGAAAATGAAACAAATATATAGAGAGACAACCATCCCCAAAAACCTGACCTAACTGTACTAAGATATATGGCCAATTAATTGTTCAACCGGTAATGGATTGCTGGATATTCTTAGCTGCCCTTGTAGTTCTTGTTTGTCATATTCGAACACAACTCAGGAAAAATAAATATAAACACAAAGAGGGAAGAAGATATAAGACACAAAATACCTGAAAATTACTATATTAGCACTCCCTCCCCCCCAAAATCAGAAATCTAGAAAATAGAACTTGATAACATTGTACGTAGAAAGCAAGGTATCAATAATTTAGGTGGTTTCCCAGGACAATAATGAGCTTGCAGAGATCATATTCATACATGGATGCACAAACACACAGAGACACTACAAAGACCATTTGATGAAAAAAAAAAAATAGAGATGCTCAGAGACTCAACACACACTATTCATAGATCCATGACTTAGAAATTCTCAGATCTGGTTAAAATTAATAAAATAAAATAAAAATTACGGGATGTGAAATACCTCTTATAGTCTGGGCTCTGTTACCGTGATTCCTTCACCAGCTTGAGGCAAACCTGAGGAGATCGGCGATTAAAGGATAAGAAAACTGGCGGCCATGTTTTAGTTTTGTGATAGAGAGAGTTCAAGAGAAAAAAGAAGAAGGGGATAACCCTTCCCTTCTGAGATCATCTATAACATCTGAATTACTTAACACCCATACACTATATTTACACAACTACACTAATCAATACTCATAACACATCAATGGTCCAACAATTATGGAGCTCGAAATTTCTATGAGGGCCAATCAAATCATAAATTAAAATGAAAACATGTAAGTAATTAAGAATTATTACTTGCTCAGTCAGCTCCTTCTTGTCACTTCAAGGATTATTCAATTCAACCTGATTCGATCAAACTGCATCACTCAACAAAACAAACAAAAAATAAATTAAAAAAGAAAATCAGGGGAGCTAAATAAATATACACTGACCTACTTTTTGGCTAGAAAACCCAAAAAGAGCAATTAAACAGCAGTGCATAATGACGGAATTTCTATGAAAAAATATGAATGAGTTTTCAATTAATAATTGAGCCCGAAATAAAGAAGGCCTTTCTCATCTTGGTGCAGGGCGGATAACAAAAACATTATGCATGGATTAATGTATAATATTTGAGATCCTATCTGTGTTTTATTGACTGATGTTTCAACACCAGTTAGCTAATTCATATCACACATCCATACATACCTGAGAACGCTTATTGCCACCACCATAATGTTGTTGCTTTAGTATGTTTTTTCACTGAGAAGAAAAGGAAAGAGCATCATGAAAAATTTAGTTCCAATATACCTGAGAACAATTCACATGTTATTACCTTAAACAGGAGTTAAAATTACTCACCCTTTTTCTCTTTCATCACACCAAGACAAAACTAAAGGAAGACTTCTAATCCTATAAATTAGCAAATACTCTACTATCCTAAATTCCTAATCCCACGTGACTTCGCTGCCCCACGCCTTTGTCCCCTGTCTCCCATTAACTAAAAACACTCCCAAATCACATCAGCCAGCCATACAACAAAGCCACTGGCCACATCAAATATTAGGCACGATTTAGGTAACCAAATTCAACGAATAGAGTTCGGATAACGAAATGCAAAGAACACGATACATAATTGTAAAATTCAAGAACATGATTCAGAGGATTTGAACTATATTGTGTTGAAAAATTACCGAAGAGCGACGATTCCAGGTCGGTAGCAGTCAGGCTTCTTGACTCCTCCAGTTGTGGGTGCTGATTTTATTGAAGCCTCAAAATTAAAACAATTAGCAACTTAGATCCAATAATCTGATTGTTTCTCGGAAAAAATAGCTTGCAATTATTGACCCAACACAGATTTTGCAGTATTAATTAAGAGAGAATTATAGTTGTATTTACTTGTGACTAAATCTTTCTTGTTTTGTGGTGATTTGTATAGCAGACAGCCAAACAATATATATAATTATTCAAACAGATTAAGACTCGTAATCAAATCAAATCGTTTCTGGTGCAGCTGCTGAACAATGAAGAGCCGAAGCGACTCCTGCTTTTGAGTGAAAGAAAACTCTGCAGTGACTCGAACAGAGAAATTGAACTAATAATAACAAAGAGTTGGGATCACGATACTCACCAAGACCAGATCGAAACGAAGCACAACCTCTCTCCCCCTTGAAATCTGAAATCCCCACCCAAAAAACCACGCATGGGCCTCCATGACGCAAACGATGGAGTAAGACGACATAGGCGAGGGAAGGCAGACGGCGGTGAGAGGAGGATAGGATGGACGCGAGACCGTCTGCGTCGTTCTCGTCAGGTTTGTGAGACGGAAGAGGCAAGGAGGGTTTGAGAAGGAAACGAAAAAGACCGCCTTTACCATCGTTCTTCCTTCCCACGATCATCAACACGTATGCATCAAGACTAACGGCAGAGAGGGCCAGTGGTAATCTTGTAAATAAACTGAAATGTCTTACAAAACACTGTTCATTTCTACAGTGCAATTTTGCCAGCTTCTTTAGACTAAAGTAATTCTTGAATTCATTTTGTGGTGGTTTCTGTCATTTATAATAGAAAACGTTGTTTCCATTCAATTAGCTAATTCATTATTACATAGTAAAGAGATGAAAATCAGTTTTATAGCTGTTATCTCATTTGCATTCAGTCATTATGAGAATTGTTAACGCAATTTTCTTTGATATCTTAATGTTTAAATTGAGCTCTTATGTGTAGCTTCCCTTGTCCCAACCTTGTGAGTAATCTTTTCTTTCCTGCAAAACCCAGCTAGTTGAAAAGAATCTTACTTTTCACTTGGAGCTACAAATGCAGTGGCCTTAAGGAGGATAAAGCTTATATAGGACAGTGAACTTACACGCATCAATCTAAAATCTTATTCCAATTAAGCGTCGACAAAGAGCTTTTTCTACTTACAAAAGATAAGTATTTTATCTTACTTTGTTTATGTTATTTAATAAACTGTGGCAATACAAATTATCGTGTATTAATATTAATTTTATGTCATTTTTTAGACAGTAACTTGTATTCATAATCTCTAATAGAGAGATGAATGCTGTTAGGGAGGACTAATAAAATGTAGTTTACAAAACTTTTTTTATTGTTTTGAAAAACACCTAGACAACTTTTTGTTTATTAAAGACCTTTGTGTACATTTCAAGGACAAAAAACAAAAAAAGATTCACACTTTAGGAAGGTTTTGAATTAAAAAAAAAACTAATAAAAAAGGTTTGAAAACTTTAAGTTTTAAAGATAAGGACAAAATAAAGGGTAAAATGAATAGTATCAGAATTGACTTTTTAATGTAAAAATATGATTTTTCGTTAAAATAAACAATACGGAAGCTCTTCATTAAAGTTTCCTTAACAAAACTGTTCTTAATAATAAAGAAAGTGTCTTTTAATAACAATAACGAAAATTGTCTAAAAATTTATGATAAAAAAAGTTTTGCTAGAAAATTTTTATTAATTTTTTGTTATTTTTAACTAATTGAGTTACATCTCTCAGGAAGCTATACTTTCTTTGTAGGATTTTATATTTAGAGGCATAAAATTATCATAATTTTTCTCTTTTACAAAAAAAATTATTATACTTGAAAAAAATATAATTAGGTTTTTAAAGCGTAAACTTGTAACGTGGGTAGGAAACGGCAAAATCATAGCGGGAAGAGCATAAGCAGGGTTTAAGGCAATTTGGCGGCTCTCTTCAGTCTTGCCTAGGGTTTTAGCTTCAAATTCTCACTCTGGTTTCTCTCCTTCCCCAATTTATACACAACTAGGGTTTCTGATTCTGTAAAATACAGAGCAGGTCCTGATTACGATGAAGGTGAAAGTAATATCACGATCCGCAGATGAATTCACCAAAGAACGAAGCCAAGACCTCCAGGTGAGTTTTTCTCATCTCTCTCCTCGGAGCCTTTCGTCCCTCTTTCTCTCTCTAAATTCTGATGCTAGGGTTTCTGGTTCGATCTCCGCAGAGGGTATTCCGTAATTTCGACCCCAGCATCCGAACCCAAGAGAAAGCTGTCGAGTATGTCCGGGCACAAAACGCCGCGAAATTAGATAAGGTGTGATTTGGGATTGATTTCAATTGAGTTTTGATTTATTGGATTTCGGACTGCGTTGGATAATTGTGCATCTAAATTTGTTTGAATTTGTTTGTATTTTTGTGGGTAATTTAGATTTTTGCGAGGCCGTTTGTTGGAGCAATGGAGGGACATATAGATTCCATTTCGTGCATGGCAAAGAATCCAAACCACTTGACAGGAATATTTTCTGGTTCAATGGATGGAGGTACTTTGTTTCCTCTCAAATTTTCGAATTCTTTTAGTCTCTTATTTATGTGGACGTTTCTTTAGAGATTTTGATAGATTCTGAAAGACTTCAAACCACTTTCTTTTTTATTCAGATAATTTTTTTACATAAACACAGTACGACCCCAGCACCGATGATTCTCACCCCGTCCTCTGATCTATAACACTCCAAACTTTGCGGGTCCAAAGCCTTCCTTGCTAATACATTAAGAAATCCCAAACCTTGCGAGGTTTTCCATTTAAAAGTCCAAAGTATTCCAGTTCTACCATTTTAGTTGCAGATATCACATGCATTGATCATCTTCAAAACAAGATGATGTTGATGACGGTGGTGCAAAAATCAAGCAATTGTTAATTGGTAGATAGGGATATTTGTTATGTTGATCATGCAGTCATGTATGTGCCATTGGGGAAGGGTGAGACGTGAGTGAGGAGTCATCGGTAGTGAATTCGTTTGGATTGCCGATCATTTTTATTTTCAACTCAGTGGGAAAAGAGTGGGTCTATCGACCTTGTGGCCTGTGGGAATTTAATCGGCATAGAAAGTGTCAGGGTAGAGAGAGAAGAATTCTTGGCTGTTCATCTTGAAGTGAAATCCTAGGGGGGAGGTGAGGTTCTTTATAGCCTTTACATTGTATAAATCTCCTTTCAAATCCACCAAAATCTTTCATTTAATGGAATCCTTCAAACTATGTAGTTTTTTTCACTACATCAAGATTTGCATGCATTTTTAAAATGTTCTTAAAATCTTAATTTACTGCACTAATGGGGGTGTAGTCAAATTAGGATTTGAAAGGATTTTAAGACTTTTTTTGGGGAAAGATTTCGTGGAATTATGTAGACTTCTACAAGGACCATATGGATTTTTGAAGGCTTAAGAGGATTCATACTACAGACTTTCAGGGATTTGGATGGATTTTAGAAGACTCATTCATGAATTTTCTCCTTGTTATCTTTGCCATGGCCCATGACTGCATCAACCAACATCGTGTGCTCCTCCATTCTCCATCTTCACTCTTAACCCTGCCTCTCTCCTCTTCAATGGTAAAATAGTTGAACAAAATCTAAAAGACTCAGCAACTGTGTTTCTTTCTTACATAGAGTAGAGCCATAAATCCAAAGATATACTTCCCTGTGTATAAATTCATCCTACACAGTAGCAGTGCAAAAAGGGATAATAAAGCCCAATTGACTCATAAAATACCATATGACACCCAATAAGAATAACATCAGCAACTCCATTTCCTAGGCTGATAAAGAAAAAGTAATCATCTTTCCCACACTATTGGGGCTTGGCCGAATAATTAGAGGCAATAAGCAATTTGGTTCAAATTTTTTATTGTTATTATATTTTTTTTATAGTTTTTATTGAAATAAAATCTTCTTTTAACTAAAAAAGTAAAAGCAATGGATGATAAGAACAAATAATCACAATCCTAATTGACTATACATAAATTTCAAAATTTTAATTGACTACAACAAGATTTTAAAGTCTTTCAAAATTCTCTGATTTGGTCAAATTAGGATTTCAGAGAATTTTGAAAGACTTTAAAATGTTGATGTAGTCAATTAGGACTTTAAAAAACTTTTTCAAAATGCATGTACAATCAAATTAGAATTTTAAAGAATTTGAAAGACATTAAAATCTTGGTGTAGTCAATTAGGATTTCAAAAGACTTTTTTAGATTGCATGTAAATCTTAGTGTAGTAAATTGAGATTTGAATAGACATTTTTAGAGTGTTTATAATCTAGATGTAATAAAATAAAAAAATAAAAAAAAATCAAAGATTTGGTAGTATTTGTTAGATTGGGGATTTTGTTGATTTGAGAGCATGAAGTACATGTATCTAGTACCAAAAAGAATCTCATCTTACTCCCTAGGATTTCATTTTATGTTCTTCTTTGTCTCTTTCCCCGCCACCCATGCCCAACCCCATCTGCCACCCACCTAGCATCAACTCTCTTCTCCATAGTTGCCATATACGGAGTACGGTTCGAGTTTGTGGCTCAGTTCAAGTACGGACTAATAAGCTATATTAATATTTGATAGAGAGTAGATATAGATAATACGATATTTAGTTTGATTCGTTCTAAGCAATGATTATTCATTCTAAGCAATTATTTGTGTTTTATAGAATATATTATTTGTGTGCATTCTAAAAATATGTTTAATTGATATAATAAGAGAATGAGGAAGATGTTTGTATCCAAGTGCAACAATCAAATGAAATATCCAAGAGTCAACCTTAATTCTCCAGAAGTATACCGTCGCAAGCTTCGTTGCCCAAAAATGCTAGAACAAGGTTGAAACCGCTACTAGTAAGTTAAGTTATTTTAGAGAATTTGGGGTGGGACAAAGCAGTGGAGGTGTAATCATGGCAAAAATCCATACAAATATTCTACTAGCATCAGTTATCATCTAACAGGATCTAATATTTATTAGAAAAATTATTATTTACTAATTTATTTATTTATTTTTTAATTAGAAATATATAAACTATTGGTTTTATCGATGAGAATAGTTTATATTTTTCTAAATTAAAAATAAAAAACAAAATGAGTAAATTATAATTTTTATAGTATAGTATTAGTAACTATTAGATGATAGATGATAACTAATGCGAGTAGTAGAACATTTGTATGGCCTCTTGCAATGTTTGCACCTCCACTGCTTTGTCTCAACCCAAATTTTCTAAAGTAACTTCAGTTACTAGTGGCGATTTCACTCTTGTTCTGGCATTTTTGGGCGATGAAGCTTGCGACGGAGTGCTTCTCGATGATTGAAGTTGACTCTTTGATATTTCATTTGATAGTTGCACTTGGATACAATCATCTTCCTCATTCTCATGTTATATCAATTAAACACATTTTTAGAATGCACACAAATAATTAATGCTATAAAACACAAATAATTACTTAGAATAAGTAAACTGTAAATTATTTTTATAGTCAAACCAATTTATATTCTTTAACGAATCTAACAGAATATGGTATTGTCTATGTCTACTCTCTGGCGAATGGTACTATAGGTTACTAGTGAATTCCGTACCCGAACCAAGCTGCAAACTCCAACGGTACTTTGTATCTGGCAACTATGTGTTGTTTAGTTCTCTGATGTTAATGTTATTTAAAGTATAATTTGGATTGATTTACTCCAAATTGTAATCTTGGCTTGATTGAGCTACAATATTTGTTGCATC